TTCCAAGGATGGGCATGGGGGCACAGCACCCAGCCTCTGCTCCCTACCCAAGCCCTCACCCCGTGGGGGCTGCCTCCCCCAGAGGGACCCCTCTTCACCCCGTGTAAGATGAACAAAAGACCCGACATGGCCTTTTCCTGCAATGCATCTGGCTCCCTGACGAGAGTCTGTTGCCCTACATCCGTGGCAGAAAATGTAGATTCCACCCCAAGCTGTAACATTTGTAGATGTGGTGTTATCTTAGTCCGTTTGGGCTGCTATAACAAAAATACCATAGACAGGGTGCTTATAAACAACAGACATTTATCTCTCACAGTTGTGGAGGCAGGAAGTCCAAGATCAAGGCCCCAGCAGATCTGGTATCCAGATCTGGTATCCTTCTGGCTGTGTCCTCACATGGTGGAGGGAGTGAGGGAGTGCTCTGGGGGCTCCTGTTCATGAGGCTCACATCCTTACCAGCTCATCTAATACAAATTATATCCCAAATGTCCCTTCTCCTTGAAGGTTAGGCTTCAATATATGAAATTGGTGGGGACAAATTCAGTCTATAAAAAGTGTGGTTGACCCGTTTTCATCCATCAGTTGGCTGGTTTGCTTCTTCAGGCGTTTTGGAGATTACTGTTGTCCATCCAGCATTTGGTAAGATGGTGCAGGCCTTCCGGAAATGAAGTCCATGAACTCAGCCTAGGAAAAGTCACCAGATTAGAGCTCTTTCAAACAAGAGGGGAAACACAGATGTGCTCTAAATGGACCTTGAAATAGCCAAGAGTATAAGACAACAGAAGGTTTTCTGGGAGGATGTGGCAAATTTGGGTTTAATTAAGGTGGATGGGAATAGCGTTTGAGGTAAGAGTTCCCATTGTACTCTTTAGGAGATATTGCCTGGTCTACTTTGGCCACAAAGGGAGGTGCAGAGCCAAGGAAGCAGAGGGAAGACTTAACTCAGAGGCTGGGAAACCATCCTGGCTCCCTGAGGACCCTGGCAGGAGTCATTGCCAAGTCATCCTCAGCCCTACAAGAAGGGGCACTGTCCACTCAGCTTGGTCAGAATGGGTTCTAATGGGGTGGAGACCCCAGATGAATCACAGTCTTCTCCTCTAGGAAAGGATGGGTTCAGCTCCCAGAAAGAGGGCTAGGAAGGACAGAGGAGCATGCCAGTGTTCCCAGACCTGCCAGAGCCCCATAGCCCTGCCTTGGGGCATACTGGGACAGGAGGATGAAACCAGGATCCATGTGAATTATCTGAGTGTTCACAGGGCTTGGGGTGCAGACAGTGCTTTGGGTTTCCAGCAAAGGAAGCAGAGACCAACCGACATCAGAACTTCCTGGGCCCCAGCTGCAGCTCTGCATCCCCTCTGTTTCAGGAAAGCCTCATTTCTTCCTGTAGCTTGAGTTTTAAATTTTTCTTGGTATATGGTGATTCCCTCCTTTCTTCCTCCGTGCTTAATCTTCCCCATGCTTGAAGCCCAGCCCCATTTTTCCCACCTCCCATCTGAGCCATCCCTGAACTTCCCACCCACCCCTATCCCTGCCTTTGAGATGCAGTAGTGTTTGTAGTCACGAAGGGGATGCTCAGCTAGGAATCCATGGTCTTCTAGGTGTCATCAGTGCCAGGAGGGTGGGCCCATGTCCCTTCATTCTTCTCTAGCCCTGCCAGAGAGACTGAATGACGTCAAGGAACACAACAGTAACAGTCTAGACAAGGAAGAAAACCAGCAGCGACATCTTGCTATGCTATCTAGACCTGTGGGAACCTAGCTGTTATCTCCAACACCTGAAGCCTCAGTCTTGTAAGCTGTAAAGCAAGAGTAGAAATAGTGTAAATTAATTATTTCTAAGTAAACATGAGTGTAGTATATATTTATAACATAAATTTATTTATTTGTAAGTATAATTTATCATTAATCTCATCATCATCATCATCATTATATAGTTACTGCTTGATAATTTATTTCCTGAAAGTTCTGAAACTTCGCATGATGGCTTACTAAAACCTCCCTTGGGGCTTGTAGAGTGATTTTGGTGCTATGGATCTGGCCTCTACATTCTGGATGGTGCAAAGCACCACATAGAGATACTTAATCTTTAAATTTTGTTACTTGAGATTTTGGTTTGATGTCCTCTTTAAGAGAAGACTTATGACATGTCCTTGGAACATTTTGTTTTCCTTAGTAGTAGATTGACTAATTTGCATTAACCAAAGAATTTAGATTCTAGAGTTTAGAATTTGCATTAAACCAAGAATTCAGGTTTTTTAGAACTATGATTTTAAACTCTTGGATATTGCTGGGAATATAAAATGGTACAGTTGCTGGAAAACAATATGGGGGTTCCTCAAATATTACAAATAAAATCATAATATAATCTTGCAATTCAATTCCTCTTAAGGGTGTATATCCAGAAAATTGAAAGAGGAACTCTAAGAGATATTTGTACCCATGTTCAGAGCAGCATTATTCACAATAGCCAAAAGGAGGAAGCAACCCAAGTGTCTGTCAATAGATGGATGGATAAATAAAATGGTGTATATGCAAATAGAAGAGTATTATTCAGTCTTGAAAAGGCAGGAAATTATGATATATGTAACAATATGGATGAACCTTGAGGACATCATGCTAAGTGAAACAGCCAGTCACAAAAAGATAAGATTCTACTTATATGAGGTTCCTGGAGATATTAAATTGACAGAGACAACTAGTGTCTGGGGGGAGAGGGTAATGGGGAATTAATGGTTAATGCATACATAATTTGAGATGAGCAAGATGGAAAGAATTCTGGAGAGGGATGGTAGTGATAATTGCAGAATGTAAATGTACTATGCCTCCAAACCATCCACTTAGAGTGGGTAAAATGGTAAATTTAATGTTATGTGTGTTTTACCACAATTAACAAATAATACATAATAAAATTAGAAAATCTGATTCAGAATATGAAGATGACACAAACAAATGGAAGACATATCGTACTCATAGAATGGAAATTGATGTTCTTAAAGTGTTCACCCTACACAAAGCAATCTACAGATTCAGTGCAATCCCTATCAAAATACCAAAATATTTTTCATAAAACTAGAACAAATAATCCTAAAATTTGTACATAAACACAAAAGACCCCAAATAGTCAGTCAAAGCAATCTTGAGAAATAAGAGCAAAACCTGAGGTATCACAATCCCAGGTTTCAAGATAGACTACAGGGCAGTAGTCATCAAAACAGTAGGGTACTGGCACAAAAAGAGACACACAGATCAATGAAAGAGAATAGAAAGTCAAGAAATAAGCTCCTCGGGGTGCCTGGGTGGCTCAGTGGGTTAAGTGTCTGCCTTCAGCTTGGGTCATGATCCCAGGGTCCTGGGATCGAGCCCCACTCAGCAGGAAGCCTGATTCTCCGCCTCCTGCTCCCACTGCTTGTGTTCTGTGTCTCTCTGTCAAATAAATAAATAAAATCTTAAAAAAAAAAAAAAAGAAAGAAAGAAGCCCCTCCTTATATGGTCAAATATTCTACAATATAGGAGACAAGAATACACAACGGGAGAAAGATAGTCTCTTCAGTAATGGTGCTGGAAAAACTGGACAGCTGGCTATATGCAAAGAAAGGGAAACTGGGTCACTTCCTTACGCCACACACAAAAATAAACTCAAAATGAATTAAAGACCTAAATTTGAGACCTGAAACCAAAAAAATCCTGGAAGAAAACACAAGCAGTAATTTCTTTGGCATTGGTCATAGCACCATTTTTCTGGATACATCTTCTGAGATAAGGGAAACAGAAGCAAAAATAAACTGTTAGGACTTCATCAAAATAAAAAGCTTTTGCTCAGCAAAGGAAGCCATCCACAAAACAAAGAGACAACCTACTGAATAGCAGAAGATATTGACAAATGATATATCCAGTAAGGAGTTAATCCCTAAAATATATATAAAGTTACACAACTCAACACCCCCCAAAAAAAAAAATTAAATAATGAGCAGAGACATGAATAGACACTTCTCCAAAGAAGGCAGACAGATGGTCAACGGGCACATGAACAAATGTCCACCATCTCTCAGCATCAGGGAAATACAAATAAAAACTACAGTGAGATATCACCCCACATGTGTCAGAATGGCTAAAGTCAAAAAAGATAAGCAATAACAAGCATTGGGAGGATGTGGAAAAAAGGAATTCTTTTGCACTGCTGGTGCAAAATTGATAAATTGATGTAACCACTGTGGAAAAGAGTATGGGGGTTCCTCAAAAAATTAAAAAATAGAACTACCATATAATTCAGTAATTCCATGGCTAGGGGTTTACCCAAAGAAAATGAAAACACTACTTTGAAAAGATATATGCACCCTATGTTTATTGTAGCATTATTTGTGATAGCCAAGATACAGAAGAAGTCCAAGCATCCATTAGTAGAAAAATGGAGAAAGACGATGTGGCCTACATACACACAATGGAACATAGCTCAGCCATAAAACAATATATCTTGCCATTTACAACATGGATGGACCTGGAGGGTATTATGCTAAGTGAAATTAGCCAGAGAGAGAAAGACAAGTATCATGTAGTTTCACTTATATGTAGACTCTAAAAGACAGAACAGATGAACAAATAAACAAAAACAGACTCATAAATACAGAGAACAAACTGGTGGTTTCCAAAGGGTAAAGAGTAAGGGGGCGGTGATGGGCAACATAGGGTAAAGGGATTGAGAGGTACAAATATCAAGTTATAAAATAAGTCATGGAGATGAGAAGTAAAGCATAGTAGAAGTAAAGCATAAGAGAAGTGAAGCATAATATTATAATCATGTTGTGTGGTGACAGATGGTAAAAAATGATTAAAAAACATTTTATAAATATAAAAGAATACATGTTAATTGCAGAAGAGTTTAAATTACACATATACACGCACATACATACACGGGCATTTCATAAAGTTGTGTCATATTATATCTTGGTTTATTTCTCTAACATACAGAAGCACCATCTTCACCTTTCACTTCCCGGTTTCCAGGTTTGCAATGGCTTGGAGCAGCCAAGGAAGCAGCAGCGCTCTGATCTCAATGGACCTGTGGACAATAACAACATCCCAGAGGTAATTTTTTCCAAGGATAAGAGTTGTGGCTTAAGTTCCTAATATTGAAGTTACCACACCCCCATGGTCTGCTCACCCTCTCCACCATGTTCTTATCCCAGCCAGTGTCTTGGAAGTGGGGATTCAGTCAAGCAAAGTTAGGTGTCCCTGTAGGAAAAGGAAGGAAAGTTTCTTTCCTTCTGATTCAGGCTCATACCACTGTGGGTTCATACGTTTTCAGTGGCGCGTGGGGTTGGGTGTAGGGAAGTTCATTTATGCTCCCTGGTTTGACAGAAACTTGTTCTACTCCATTATCTTACAGTTATGTTCTAAGTTAAGGTTACTCAATAATGGCACCATTGACATTTGGGCCAGAACATTCTTTGTTGTGAAGAGTTGTCTTTTCCACTAAAGGATGTTTAGAAGCATCTCTGCCCTCTATCCACTAGATGCCAGTAGCACACAACCTCTTTGCCAAGCTGTAACAGCCAAAAGTGTCTACAGACATTACCCAGTGTCCCCTTGGGGACAAAAAAAATCATCCTGATTGAGAACCACTGTTTTAAACCCACAGCATGGTTTTGAAAAACAATCTTATATAGATTAACACTGCCTTGATGGAGGTTGTTAAAATGAGGCCTTAAACCAGTTATTTCCCTTTTCTGGATGACATAGTTTGGATAGAATTTTCTAGCTTTGATGAAATAAGTCTGGCCACCCGTAGAGTGGTGTCCAGTATCCTTTATCTTGCTTTTAAAGATGGGCCCTGGTAATTCTCATGCCCACCAATTGGAGAACTATTGGTTGTATGGTCTCTAGCCTCCCTTCTAGCAGTGACATACTAATCTGGAGTCCCTAACTTTAAATGATGGCCCTTTGTACCCCAAGTTTTCCTATGGGAATGTTTCCATGTGTCCTGCCTAAACACCATGGTGCCTGAATGCCATTGGTTTGCTTTCTGGAGCTGACTTCTTAGGAACATCAGACACTCAGTGGGGTTTAGCTTTTCACATACAGTACTCTTCTTAGCCTAGATTTTTCAGGCCATCTACTTACACTGTCATGTGTGTGTTTTCTTTTCTTTTCTTTCTTTTTTTCTATTTCCCAATAGACAAAGAAGGTGGCATCATTTCCAAGTTTTGTGGCTGGTAAGTGACTTTGAATTTACTCTTAAAGAACAGTTGCATTTTTATCTCAAAGCAAATGGTATTTTTACCTTTGGTTTTCTCCTGCAAAGCTTGTGCAGAAAGCACACCTTGAAGCTAAAAACAGTGTTATAATAAGCAAAGGTGCTCAGGCATTTGGTTGGCGGAGTACTTTGTAAGCCCGTATTGTTGTGGAAGGGGGTGGTTCAGCTGATTAGGGAACAGTCAGCCATCCCATTGAATTGCATCCCTTGACACTACTGATCAGGTTAATAGACTGAAATGTGTCGTATAAGCAGCTCATTATGATCTAACACTTTTGATTAGGGTGGATATACTTGCATCCATATTCAGGCTATTACTTCTTTATTCTCCTGTCTTTTTTGAGGGGGTTAAATTGGATTTCAGCATTCAGTGTTGAGCCAACTTTGCACCGTCTGAATGGCCTCAGGGAAACTTGGGCTGCTCCTTTCCAAGGTCCTCCAACAACACCATAAAGAGCCTCTTAAATAGGATGTTTCTTTAGCCAGGAGGCTGTTTCCTGCTGTTGCTAATGTTACAATAAAAAGTGTGGATTTTATGAATCCTTTCAGTAAGCTGGTAATTAATTTTTATGAATATTTATGGGAGTAAGGTAAATCACTCACCGGAGATAAGTAACTTTAAAACCTCTCCTACCCGGGGCGCCTGGGTGGCTCAGTGGTTAAAGCCTCTGCCTTCGGCTCAGGTCGTGATCCCAGGGTCCTGGGATTGAGCCTCACATCAGGCTCTCTGCTCAGCAGGGAGCCTGCCTCCTCCTCCTCTCTCTCTGCCTGGCTCTCTGCCTACTTGTGATCTGTCTGTCAAATAAATAAAAATCTTTAAAAAAAAAAAAAAACCCACCTTTCCTACCCTGGTTTTCTTTTTTAGTAAAGAGCTGACATCTGGGAAACTGAGACCCCCAAATCCCCTTTCAAGGGACTAGTTTGAACCAGGCTAACCCAATTCAAACTGGTTGAAAATGAATTGATTTGCTCAACCCAGTTTCGGTGGGTTCAACATTGTATTGGCTCAGTGTTGCTCAAACTAGATTAAAAACAGTTTCAGACTGTTGGAATCCATGTTATATTGTTCAAATAAACTTGATTCCATTTTGACCAACTTAAGTAGGCTCAAGTGGGTTTTGCCCAGGTATTTACATGTGGTGCTTATGGTTAAAACTGGATCAAATTGGTTTTCATCAGGTCACAGTAGATGGTGATAATTCCAATCTAAATGGCTAGTTGTCGTATTTTTCAGGAACTAATTATTGGCAGAAAGAGACAACACCTACTCCATGCCCGCATCGTAGGGTTGATTAGGTTTCTGATTCAGAGGACTGGACATCTCATAAATAGGGAAGACACACCACTTTCCTGGGTGGTGGGAATGCCAGGATGGCTTGTACCAGTCACACTGTTCCAGTGAGGTAGGCCCTTGTGGATCCAAGAAGCTCACTTTTCAAAGTGTCACGGTGTCATTTGGGCAGGACTCTCTCAGACTGCCTAGGGGAATGGTTTGGGCATTAGACTCCCCTGGCTCTTGAGTCTGCCCCCTAACTAGAGGGGAAGGTAGTGGAGAAGGATCAGGAAGCACTATCGATGCCTAGGTGCTCTGAGAAGTACCACTCACTTGCAGCATTCCAGAAGTCTCACTTCCCTAAACCAGCTTAGAAATTTTATAAACCAAAATCAAAACAATGTGGGATGCCTCAGACCAGTTATGATGGGCTGAAACTGCCTGTCACCAGCTCAAACCAATGTGGATAGCCTTAATTTAGAATTTCCTGGGGCACCTCGGTGGCTCAATTGGTTGAGCGTCCAACTCTTGGTTTTGATTCCGATCATGGTTTCAGGGGCCTTGGATTGAGCCCCACGTCTGGCTTCATGCCCAATGGGGAGTCTTCTTGAGATGCTCTCTCTCCCCCTCTGCCCCTCCCCCTGGTTGCTGTTTCTCTTTCTAAAATCGGTGGATAAATCTTTAAAAAAAGAAAAAAGAATCTCTGTTAGGCATGCCCATGGAGTGGTTGTCAGAGATATTGGCCCCTGAGAACATGAGGGTCTTAAACTGGGATGGCTCCACACATCCTTCTTCAGGGGTGTTTCCTACCCTCAGGCTCCCTCTAGCTCCTGGACAACTGTGTGGACACTCCCAGAAGAGTCCAGCTGGAAAGCTGTATTTCCTGCCTTTTTCTGAGGAAGCAGCCTCATGTCTACTTGAACTTAGAGACCTTATGAATCTGAATGTTTAGTTGAACCTTAAAACACCTTGAAGACCAACTCAAGAGTCTTCTCTTTGTCCCTCTTCGGCCAGACCTGTGCCACATGACCAGTGCCCTGGACTTCAGGGTTGACTGAAGAATCAGATATTTGGCTTTCCGGGAAGGCAGGGGAGAAAGTCTGGAGATGAGGGAGCAGTTCCCCAATGTCTGCCATACCCCACCCATCCGGCGAGTGTTTCAAGGATGAGGGAGCCCCTAGGACTTGTTCAGTCCTCCAGCTGAAAGTCTGAAGAGTTGAGAAGACTTCTTATAACTGACAGGAAAGCAGGCTTTCCTCCTCCTCTGGGTGAGAAATCACACTGGAAGAAAACCTCCTTGGAGTTTTAAGGAGGGATTGCATTCAGTCCCAGCACATGCCTTATTTCACACCTTGGAACTCTTAATAATAACGAAAGATAACAGTAACAGTCACAGGGACACCATCCTAACCTTTATTGGGCATTTAGTGTGCAAGCCCCAGGGATATGTGCTGTGCCCCTACTTCATGTCAGCCATCATAGGAGGGCTGATGCTTCTCCCCATTTGAGAGGTTAGGAAAAGTGGGGTTCAAGTAACTCATCTAAGGTCTGATGGCTGGGGGCCGGGGGCTGTGTCCTGGAGTGGTGAGGAACGGCGGGACCTACAGGACCTGCAGTCCTCTACTGCAGGACATGGAAGCTGGCAGTGGCATGAGTCCAGGTGGACCAGATTGTTGTCTACCTCTGAATGAGTCTTTGTAAAAGTCTAGCTTTTCCATAAAACCAGAAATGGGTTCATTAAAACCAGAAGTTTGGTGCTGGTCCCAATCAATGAAGCCTAACAGTGGCGGCTTTTGGACAAAACCACAAGGGCTGATAGATAGAATTCTGCTCCTCATACTGTTCTAATCCAACAGCCAAAGCTTATGTGAGATGTCCTGAAACACCGCCCACCCCACCAACAGCTCTTGCCCTGTGCTAGAATGTGGCTTGTCCTCAGGTATCAGGGCCCTGGGATCCCTCACAACCCATCTCTACTTTGTAACTTCCCACCTTTGAGAACGTGGGGACCCCATCACTGCCGAGCTTGCTTCTCATACCTTCCTTCTCTTGGGGGTCCTCTCAGTGATAAAGCCACTTGTTTATTATCACGCACTGAACACCTATGATCTGACCTCTTAAAAATGGGCAGTTGGGATGAACCTGTTCAGATGAGACTGCTGAACTGAAGGCTGCTCCCATCTCTTCCTCTTCAGTCTGTCAGAGGGACCAGGCTCCTGAGCCACAGAGCAGGCCTGAGGGGATGGGTCGGCATGGGCCTGGGGTGCTTTTGGCAGGAGGGCCGGAGTCAGGTAAATCCCCAGCACCAGCGGGGCCCAGAACGTTCCAAAGGGAGTTTATGAAAACCAAAATGACTTTCCTTTTTTACAAATAGTGTTTGATCTTGTCCAAATGGAGTCGTGAATAGGGATTAGACAGATTTTAAAATAGGAATTTTTATTCACTAGAGGTTTGTTATTTCTGACTACTTCTTAGAACAAGTCAGAAGCCATAAGAATTAAAAATGCATTCTACCCTGGAAATCCTTATTTCCCTTCTCTGTCTTCATATCCCTGTACTTCTCCCTTTTCTGCCTGCACATCCCAGACCCCTAATCCCTCTCTGCAATAGAAGCTACTGTTGAGTCTCTGGTGACTCATCCCAGAAATTTCTTGGACATATACAAAACCATAGATCTTTTTCTTAAAATAGAGATTATACTTGGACACATGAGTCCTTACTTTTTCTTGTTTTTCCCCTTTTTTGAGATTTATTTATTTATTTGACACAGAGAGAGCATGTACACAAGCAAGGAGAATACAGTTAACAGGAGAGGGAGAAGCAGTTTCCATTCTGAACAGGGAGCCTGATGTGGGACTTGATCCCTGGACCCTGGGATCATGACCTGAGCCAAAGGCAGACGCTTAACGACTGAGCCAGGCACTCCTGCTTTTTCATTTCTCACTTCCCCTTGGAGATAAGCTACTATAGAGCCTCCTAATTATTAAGTGGCTGCCCAGGATTCAGGTTCATGGACATATGATGGATACTAATCAGTCCCCAGTGGACCACTTGTTTAGTTCTGGTCAGTGCAGCAGTGAGCAGCCTTATGGATGTGTCTCCATGATCATGTGCTGTGTTCCTTCACAGAAGCTGTTCCTAGATAGAGCAAGGTTGCAGGCCAGCCAGAAGCAACTTGGGTAGAAATGGCCCAAGAGGGAGACGGTGTCACCAACACTGTCAGCCGTCTGGCTGTTTGGCCGTAGCCAGGCCAGTGGATGGAAAGTGGCATATTGTTGGTTTTACACTCAACATCCTCCATTGGAAGTGAAGCTGGGACGCCTGAGTGGCTCAGTTGGGGGTGACTGCCTTCGGGTCAGGTCATGATCCCAGGGTCCTGGATCCAGCCCCACATCGGGCTCCTTGCTCGGCAGGGAGCCTGCTTCTCTCTCCGCTTCTGCCTGCAGCTCTGCTGGCTTGTGCGCGCGCTCGTGCTTTCTCTCTCTCTCTATCTGACAAATAAATGAATAAATAAAATCTTTAAAAAAAGAAGAAGAAGAAGAAGAAGTGAAGCCAAATGCTGATTCATGCATTTACAAGCCTTTTTGGATTATCTGTTTTGTGTGTGTTGAGTTTGAGGAGTTCTTTATAGATCTTGAATATCAGTCCTTTGTCTGTAGTGTCATTTGTGAATATCTTCTCCCATT